AAACACCATGACCAAAAGTAGTCTGGGGCTGAAGGGTGTGTTTGTTGCACAGGTTAGAGTCCATTATTAGAGGAGGCTAAGGCAGGAACCCAAGGCAGGACCCTGGAACAGAAAAGGAAGCAGAGGCCACAGAGGACTGCCACCTGCTGGCTTGTTCAGCTTGCACAGGTCCACCTGCCTGGAATGGTATTGTCCATTGTACCTAAATCTATGAGCAATTAGGAAAATGTCATACAGGCATGCCATCAGCTCATTCTCATCTGGGCAGTTCTTCTGTTGAGGTTTCCCCTTCCCAGGTGACTCTGGACTGTGTCAAATGACAGCTGACGCTAACTACACAGTTAGCTAACAGACGGTGGCAGGACGTAAGTCAAAACTCATCATCTTGATACACAAGCAATATTTAACAGATGGAACATCATAGTTTCTTAAGTGATACATTACAATAATATAAAATCATTTGAGCTGGTGTCATCATGCAAGCCTTTAATCTGTCCTTGGGAAGCAGAGGCAGGGGAATCTCTGGCGTTCAGGACAGTCTGGTCTGCATAGCAAATTTCAGGCCAGCCAAGTCTAAACAGGGACACCCTGTCTCAAAAAATAAATAAAAATTATTTTTAAAATATGAAATCTAAGCTAGTACATGCAAGGTCTAAATGCCGAAAACAAACCAAAAGGAAACCTGACAAGTGGAGAAAAAGAGAAAGACTTCAAAACCCCTTATCTGCAGGAAATAATCTATTCTCAAGACAACACACAGGGTTTCCAGGAGTCAAACCACATCACACAGAAGAATTTGTTTTTCAAGATACAGACAAACTGTTATTACTTTTGCTATGGGAAAATGAACTAAAATTGCACAACTTGAAAAAGAACATGACTGGGGATTCCTATCACTGTATCTCATGACTTGCTAAAAAGTCACAGATGGTTAACAAAAGCATAGACACATAGAGCCATGGACCACATTTAATTCACCTGTATGCCCACTCACACATGACCAATGCACGTGATGCAAAGTTGCCCAAGCAATTCAATGGAGGGATATAATTTCTAGACAAATAGTCATAATAATTAAATAAACATATTAAAACTACTCAACACATCTCAGCTTCACATTATATACAAAATTAACTCAAAGTGAAACAGATATAACAAGAAAAGTTAAAATGATACATTTCTTTTCTTCTATAGTGCAACACCAGTTCTATGCCCTACAGGCTATGGGCAAGGAGCTGGAGATTGAAACACACACACACAGACAGAGACAGAGACACAGGTCATCCTTGAAACAAGAATGCCAAGAATGTCCCCTTGAATCAAGAATGCCAACTTTGTTGTATTCCAGGAGAGCTTATATAGGGTCTCCTTGACTAATGTCCATGCCCCAACTCTCAGCTGCAAGCCCACCAGAAACCACTCCCTGTCTTGTGCTCAGAGCAGCTGCAAGCATAGGAAAACAAGTTGTTTACAGGAAATTCAGGGTCTGGGGGTTCACAGTTCCCAACATTCTCCCATTCTTCTCTTTCTTTCTTTCTTTCTTTCTTTCTTTCTTTCTTTCTTTCTTTCTTTCTTTCTTTCTTTCTTTCTTTCCTCTCTCTCTCTCTCTCTCTCTCTCTCTCTCTCTCTCTCTCTTTCTTTCCTTTTGGGGGGGTTTCTGAGACAGGGTTTCTCGGTGTAGCTTTGTGGCCTGTCTTGGAACTCACTCTGTAGACCAGGCTGACCTCAAACTCACAGATATCCTCCCACCTCTGCTTCCCGAGTGCTGGGACTAAAGGCATGTGCCATCACCACTTGGCCCCAAAATGATACATTTCTAGGAGAAGAAAATAAGAACATATTTTTGATTTTGAATTAGGCAAAGATTTTGTAGCAACATCATCAAAAGTATGATTCAAAACCACTTTTTAAATTACTAATTGTACTTTAGTATAATCCAAAAGGTGTCCTCTGTGAATATTTAAGAAAATGCAGGACTATGAGGGAAGAGGGAGGGGTCTAACAGCAGTGTAGGGGGAAGAACAAGGGAGACCAACAAGGGAAGAGAAGGGTGAATGTCGTATTTCCTTTGACATGGATACAGATTTAAATATATGTGTATATATGACCTGTATATGTGTGTATAATCATATATAAGACCTTAAAGTAGACAAAGACTACTTGAGGGAGGGGTTATTGGCAAGGAGGTAAGACAGGGATGTAGAGGATGATAAGGAAGGTGAACATGAGCAAAGTGCAGTGAAACACATTCTATCATACATATATGATATTATATGCATCAGAATGAAAGCCATTATTTCACTAAAACTAATAAGTTAATAAAGCAAACAATTAAAAACATTCCAGGGAAAGACAGAAAGCGCCTCTGTAGGCCCATTTTCCGAGTCTGGGAAGGATATAAACAGTGACTTCTTAGCGCATGCCCCTAATGAGCACTTCTGAGGCCTCAGCCCAAGGGGCTCTCTGCCTTGGCAGCGATTGAGAGCCAGTGCTCTCAAGGGATGGAGAATCTGCCTATTAGTTTCCAGCCATCCAAGCTTGACCAGAGGGAGTCACATGTTTCTCCAGTGAGGAAAAGTCCCTCGGTTTTCAACGCCAACTGTTGACTTTCTGTCCTCCAGGGTCAAGCATAGAACCAACAGAGATGGGGACTCTGTGGAGGTCCTGACAGCAGCAGAGAAAGGCAGGTGAGAGGGGCAGGGGAAGCAGGGAGGGAGGGTACCTTCACCTCCAACAGCAGATGGGTTCACATAGATTCAAACACAAGAAATGATATTGAGAAAAACAAAGACAGACCTACCCAGTTCCTCTGCATTTGACCAAGCTCAAAGGAGAAAAAGCCAGTGCTCCTTTATACAGGTCAGCATTTTCCTGTCAGGGTGCACTCCCTGCTGAGAGTGCAGCAAAAACACACCCAGGGTGGAAACAGAAAAGTACAAATTGCTAAACAGAGCACACAGCTACCCTTAACCATGGCTAGAAACTCAGAGCCAAGAACCTCATTTCCCTATGCCCTTGGATAGCTCAGGCACACAAGGAAACCTTATTTATTCTCTTATCTCCATGGTTGTGCCCATTGTTTGACCTCTTTTATCCTCTTTAGTGTCAACTATGCAATACAGTATCTCAGAGCCAGGCCACTTAGACGTCCTCCTGAGTCCCACAGAGGTGTCTTGGCTTGGACCTAAACCTGGGGATTAAGCAGACTTGATTTTATGGTCCAGAATAACTAACAATGATGCAGACATGCCTGCTGTCTCATACAGACATACATTTGCTCAAATGTATGGACAAAGCAGAGTACTGAAGTCACACAAAAGCACTATCTTTCAGTGAGGAGGTTGTGGAGGAGGTGGTGGTGCAGAATTCTATTACAGGGTATGCCCAAAGAACATCCACTCATTGAGAGGAGTTGGGAACATGCTGTGGTGTGGTGTGTGACTTCCCATGGAGGGTTAACTTGGTCGGGGCTTAAATCATGAAATGATATATTGTCTAACAACTCAGCCTCCTGTGGCCAATCTACATCAACAGAGATGCTGTGCCAAGAACATCCAGGCTAGTGGAAGTCCCACATGATTTTCAAACACGAGACTCCTCCCTTGAAATCCTACTACCCGTCTCTATCTCTGATAGCACTATGGGATCTAGCCAGAAGACCCGAAGCTAATGAATCCTGAATCAGTCCTCTCCTCTGTGCATGATGTCACCTGTCAATCCCTCAGCCCCCAAAGTCTTTTAAAATTATTCTTATTATGTTGATTTGTGTGTAAGAGTATGTGTGCACAGGCCATGGTACACATGTGGAGGTCAGAGAAGAACATGTTGGTTCTCTCCGTTCATCACCTGGGTCCTGCTGCTTGAACTCAGGTCGCCGGGCCTGATGGCAGATACTTTACCCACTGGGTCTTCTCCCTGACTTTCATCTCTCACCTTCTAAGGAGTATGTTAGCCATGTTTCAGTTTTTTCTAGTACTTCCCATCTTAACTCAGGTCTGGGTATTAATCCGGCTAGGTGACTTTACATCTCAGCATTTTGGCTTAATTCCCCTGACGTGACTCCCGTCAGTGGTTGACTCATTGCTTCCCTAGTCAGTCCTCTCAAAATGTTCACAAGTGCGCCCCGGTCCCAGCAGACAGACCATACCACACATAGCCATCTCTGCCTCTTTCCTTTTCCAAGGGAGACCAATTCCCCTTCGTCCCCATTTAAGCACCCCGAATCTTCACAGAGATGCAACAGTCACAGTCTTCAGCGGCTTTCCTTAACTGGACCGGTTTCTTAGTCTTGAAGCTTATTTTTAGCTACTCTGCATGAGTTTGCTCTTTTTCAGTTTGTAAATCTCTTTCTTCAAACAGAAAGAATATCCAGCGACTTGAGGCATCTGCTCTTCCTTGTCTGACCGCAGGGAGGAGGACAAATGCCTCGCACACAGTTCAGCGCATCCCAACAGTGGACAGGCGACAACGGAAGGGCAGGTAAGACTCTGAACAAAACTGTTAACTGGCCTCTTGACCCCACAAAGATTCCAGTTTCTGAAAAAAAATTAGAAAAATCACAGACAAAATCTTCAGGATTCTACTGTGGCATCAGATATAGATTTACCTCTGGGTTAAAGTTTTAATAATTGATAGTTATTTAAAGCATAGCATAAAGAGACGGGAACAATACATTTCCACTGACTTAAAGCAGTCACTTCCATTGGCTCTGTGAATTTGGATAAATCATCTCTCACCTCATGCTTCAGCTTTTTCACTTATAAAGTGCAGTGTGATTCCACAATTATCAGGCTAAGGAAGGGTTAGCACAGGAAAGACCCTACACATGCAAACAGGAGTGAAGAAGAACACAGCTATTGTAATCAGATCCTATTAAAATAACTATCCTCTTCTGTAAAATTGCTCAGGCAGACTACTCAGTTTTAGTAAATTCCCAGCCAACAATTAAGCTCTTCCAAATTTATGATGTTTTTGCTTAAGAGTTGACCTCCAATCTTACCTTGAGATTGAACTTTCTACCCCACAGATATGGGCAGAAAGAACCAGACGATAGCCACAGAATTCCTCCTCCTGGGATTCTCTGAACAGTCAGAGCAAGAAGAGGTTGTCTTTGGGCTGTTCTTGGGGGTGTACATGGTCACCATTTCTGGGAACCTTCTCATTATCCTGGCCATCAGCTGTGACTCTCATCTCCACACACCCATGTACTTCTTCTTGGCCAACCTCTCCAGTGTCGACATCTGCTTTTCCTCAGTCACCATCCCCAAGGCTCTGGTGAATCACATGGTGGGAAGCAAGTCCATATCTTACACAGAGTGTATGACCCAGATCTATTTCTTTATCACATTCATCAACATGGACAGCTTCCTCCTGAGTGTGATGGCCTATGACCGCTATGTGGCTATTTGTCATCCACTCCACTACACCCTGATGATGAGGCCCAGACTCTGTGTCCTCCTGGTGGCCATACCATGGGTCATCACAAACCTGCATGCTCTCTTGCACACTCTCCTCATGGTTCGACTCACCTTCTGTTCTCACAATGCAGTGCACCACTTCTTCTGTGACCCATATCCTATCCTGAAGCTCTCTTGTTCTGACACCTTTATCAATGATGTCACAGCCTTCACTGTGGGTGGGCTGACCTCTGTCCCACCATTCATGTGCATCATTGTCTCGTATGCCTATATCCTCTCCCATGTACTGAAGTTCCCATCCATTCAGGGGATAAGAAAAGCCCTGTCCACGTGTGGGTCCCACCTCACCGTGGTCTGCCTTTTCTATGGAGCGATCCTGGGGGTCTATATGCACCCTTCATCTACATACTCAGTGCAAGACATGGTGGCCACTGCCATTTTCACTGTGGTGACACCCATGGTCAATCCCTTCATCTACAGCCTGAGGAATCACGATGTCAAAGGAGCCCTAAAGAAACTCATATTTAGGAGACTCAGTTCTTCAAAATTCTACAGCTAGACAGTTTTAAAATGAAGAAGACTAATAATGGAGCAATAGAGGCTGTGTTGAGTATATTCATCTGTTCATCTTGCTGTGTGCAAATACAATGCCAATGAATAGTCATAAAATTATGAATTTATTGTCTACATCTAGAATGAATCCTGTGACCTTTATTTTAGAGAAAAACACAAGAGAGGGGGTTTAGATGAGTCTGTTTGCTGACCTCATGTAACGTCTCAATGTGCCTTCCATGGCTGTGTCTAGCAGTATTAAAAGATGCTAGTAGACATCTTTTAATGCTAGTAGGACTAATATTAAATGCTAATAATTTTTATTTAAATTTTAATGCTAGTAGTACATTAAGAGATGCTAGTATGACTTTGGACTCATATGCCTTCTGAGGGTTACATGAAATAATAAAGTTTTACAAATAATGTTTGCAGCATAATTTTGAATGAAATATATGCTAATAATTATTGAATAATTATAATATGTTACAGATTATCTCTGCATCAGATTTGTTTGTTTGTTTTAAGACAGGGTCTCACTATGTAACCCTGGCTGCCCTGGAACTTGCTATGTAGAGGAGACTGACCTTGAACTCACAGGGATCTGCCTTCCCCTACCTCCTGAGTACTGGGACTTAAGGTGTGTGCCATCATGCCTGGATTATCTCTGTACTATCTTACTTGAGGCTCGCACTTCCCTGTGATATAATCCTCCCATCTACAGTTCAAGGAAATTGAATCACAAAGAAATTAACCTGTCCAGGTCCATAGAATCACTAATGATGCTTAGAAATATCCAAGACTTTATTGAAATAGAAAAATAAATTACCAAATCCTGGGAAGCATGAAGGAAATAGAAAGACGAAAACATCCTATTTTGTTCCTGGCCCCAGTCTGGAGTGAAAGAATACATGGGAGTTGTTTGTGCAGGGAACGGTCAGCTATTGGGGACTGGTTCTGTTTCCGTTTCTGACCCTTTGATGAGCTGCATAACAAGCCAGCCGTGCAGGTAGAGGGCCAAGAATATGTCCTGGAATGCTCCCTGGGCCCACGAATAGCTTCTCAGGCAGGTACTTGGGTGACAGTGGGTGATGGTGAAGGACGACATGCTTGGTTCCTACTTTGAATCACGTCAGTGGTTACTCAAGACACGAGAACCTTTTTAAATGCTGGTGTGCGGTGTGTCAGACACAGAGTAACTGTAATGGGCAATCACTGTGATTGCAGTCTTCAGATTTCGTGGTGTTCATTCAGATGTAGCTCATCAATACGCCAGGCATCAGCAGAGAAGTCTGACAAAGATACTCACATTTGGGGTGCTTCTTGCTGCCAGGACTCCTGGGATGCACCCCTTCCCTCCCTGCCAGACAGTTCCTGAAGCATTAATTCACCATTTGGAGACAGCTCTTAGCAGCCACTCAAGAGCTCCCAGGGCGCCAGTTCAAACCAAGCTTTCTTCACACTTCCCCTCAGATTTCCCTCTGCGACTCATACAACACGAACCACGGGAAGAGCCGGGCGTAGGGACCCATGCCTATGATGCCAGCACATAGGGCACTGAGGCAGGAAGATGCAAGTTCATTGTCAGCTTGAGCTCCGAGGCTCTGACTCTTTCAACTTCTAGGACTGGGAAGGGAAGGAACTCTAGATAATACAATACTGGTCAAAATATGCCAGACACCATAAAGACTGGTACTAAGCTTTCATGGAAATAGATACTTATAATATATTCTGATAGAACACATACTATTCAGTACTTACAACATTTCTGTAACCAGTTTAGTGAATATGCAAAAAGGTTGGTTGATTTGAACAGGAAAGTTCAGAATCCGATCCAGGAGCAGTAGAAGTGGGTTGGAAATCTCTAGGGGCTGATATCCTGCATCATCTAACAGAAGGTAAAGCAGAATGCCAATCACACCACCAATTCAGAACTCCATTCCCTGCTCAAGCATGAAAAAACCCAGTATTGCTTCATGAGAAATGGCCATAGTTCTTTGGTAAGAGGGTGGCAGGCACGAACCACCCACTTCTCAATATTGCTCAGCCCGACTGTGTTTGCATAGACAGCAGTCCGCTTGCCCAGTGGGGCTGGATGTTGTCCCTGAGGGAAGGCTGTTAGTAACTACCTTGTCCCCGACATAGGCAGCAGAGACTACCCTTCCTGAGTGGTATTCACTAGGAGATTTAAAGGGACAGCAACGTTTCCCTATATTTCTTCCCAATTGTAACCAGGGCTTTATCAGTGCACTAGAAGAAAGCTTTGTTGGTGCACCAGCTTACTTCAGAGAAGGCGAAACAGCTCCTTTGAGGACCACACATGCTCATATGCACACACATGAACATATACACAGAGAGACATAAATGTTACACACCAGTCACCAGTCAGTAAACTAGCTTGGAAAATTGACAGGTGGACAGGTCCATTTTTTTTTATTACTTTACAAATAATACCAATCAAAATTTCCACTTCCTCCCCTCCTCCCACTTCCCTCACACTCCTCCACTCACACTCCTCCCTCTCCCTCCATTCCTAAGAGAAGGCAGGGTATCCTGCCCTGTGGCAAGTCCAAGGCTCTCCCCTCTCCATCCAGGCTTAGGAAAGTATACATACAAATAGAAGAGGATCCCAAAAAGCCAGCACATGCAGTAGAAACAAATCCCAGTGTCATTATCATTGGCTTCTCAGTCTGTCCCAATTGTCAGCCTCATTCAGAGAGTCCAGTTTGATCCCATGCTTGTTCAGTCCCAGTCCAGCTGGATTTGGTGAGGCCCCATTAGCTCAGGTACACTGTCTCAGTGTGTGGACCAATCCTTTGTGTTCCTGATTTCTTTGCTCATATTCTTCCTCCTTCCACTCTTCAACTCAACCTTGGGGACAGGTCCATTCTTAAACAAGAAGAAATATCAATGACACCCCCAAGTTAGGAGGGATAGCCTAATACCACTAACACACATAGTACTCAGACACAGACAGGGTCTCACTGTGTAGGTCAGGTTGGCCTGGAACTCACAGAGATCTCCTGGCCTCTGCCTCCTAACTGCTGGGATTTAAAGGTGTACACCACCATGGCTGAAAAAAATAGAACTTTAATAAAAAGTAGATCCTAATAAATCTTAAATTAGCTTCATCACAAGTCAGTTGTTACAATTTCAAGACAGCCACTAAGAAAGTAACTTGAAAATAAACAGAAAGAGAGAGGAAGGGAGTCAAACTGGCATGCTACAAACAACTAACTTCTAAAAATATGGCATTGGTGAAAGATATGATGAGGGAGAAACTTATAAAAGAAATACCCAATGACATAAGTAGATGATTTGGTTTTTTACCAGTAACCACACTCAATATAAGTCGATGAATCACTCATATTAAAAGGTAGAGGTTAGCCTAGTGGACAAAATAAGATTCACTTGAATATGCATGTGAGGGGCTCTTAAAAATGGAGAGGCTCTAGAATAACTCTAATGGGTTTATTATCGCCTTGATAACAACTTAAAAACTAGACAAAGTATCTGGTGAAACTCTATTGGTGATTGGAGGTGAAAGAGGGAAACATGTGTGCCACACGAACAGAAAATTTATTTAAAAAATGACATGGTTTATGTTACCATTGGACAAAAAATACACTTTGGGACTATTTCCTAGCCTAAAAAGGGAAGTTTCTATTCATAAGAAAGACAGTGCAAGCTGAAAATGTATGTGCACTCAAAATTAAAGCTCAAAATGCATGTGAAATAAAAATTGACAGAAACAAAACTCTCTCAGTAATTGCACACATAAATTAAAAGGCCAGCAATGGTGGAAAAGAACTGAACACAGCATTAACCAGTTCAATATCACTTGACATGAAACTATACTGTACTTTCAAGTGTGTAACATGAGGGCTGGCTTGTTGGGGTTTCTGTCCCTCCCAGTACCCCAACAGCCGGCAAGCAACAAAGAAAAGCACACACAAGACTCCATATGGTTATACAC